CGTCACGGAGTTCATCAACGTCGCCCTCATCAACCGAGGGAAGCTGACCTCCTCCACGGCCGCGCAGCTGAGCATTCTCGAGCTCGAGAGCTTTGACCCTCATGGTCAACCTGAACATCATATACTCGAGCAAGCGAATCTTTATGCCGCACTCAGCGATTCGCTCATCCATTTCTGAGCAGTGCTGAGTCGCCTCTAAACTCTGCTGCTTCCAGTGATCCCGCTCACGTCTCGACTGGTCCAGGGCTGTTCGGACACGCGCTAGGGTCCCTCGAAGATCCCGCGCTTCCTGCTGGAAGTCCAATGCCTAGCACGATGCTGGGGACGCAACTTTTCACTCGGCATTTTACTTCTCGCTGCAAACGAATCACTTGATCATCCCCTTCGTCACGAAGAGCCTTCAACGCCGAGATCTCTTCTCGCAATTCCTGAACGATTCTCCTGAAAGTAGTGCAATCCCAAAACTTCCCGAGATGAGGAACTCACTCGAGCCTGTCGTTGTCGCTACGTACGTGACTAGCAGCCGCCTTTAATTCCTTCTTATCAGCGTTCAGAGACTGACACGTGAGCGAGTGAACAACGTGCGGGACGGTGCGAATCTGCTTACTTCCACTAGAGATCCCAACTTGACAATATTGTCCTCCTTTTCCCGCCGTTCCTCCTTCAATGCAACCACATAGTGGCCACTCCGCCGTAGGCAATCCTTCTTGTGTTCAGCCTCACATCGGAGTGCATCGAGACGACTACGGAAAGAGGCGTTCTAAAACGAGTCAGTGTGCCGTTTAACAGACACTGACGCGATGATTGCAACATCGGGACCAAAGTGTGATCACCTCAGCCGCCAGGTCGGTGTTGATACGCTTGAGCTTTTCTATTGTCGCCATTTGATTAGAGAATCGTTGCGCAGTCTTATCTTCTACTTCTCGTGATGAGCATTTCTTCTCATGCGGGCTCACAGCCGATATCTTCGTTGGTTCAGAGCTCCCGCAAGAGGTGATCTGGTACGGAAGCTTTCAAGGCTGCCGATCAGTATCCGACTCTCACTTTCTCTCGAGCACGGAGTTCATGGATCGATAGCTCGAGTTGGCGGTATCGATTCTTTAGTGCAGCCAGCTCCCTATCGAATGATCGATTGAAGGTTAGGAACAGAGACTCGAACCCCTCTCCCCTAACTGTTCGGCTGCCTTCCGCCTTCGGTCTGCCCCAGCCACCCTCTTCACGAGAGCGTCTCCCATATCCCGCAATCGCTCACACTCTCTCTTACTCGCCATGTGAAGTGAACGATAATGCCTGGCCCCGAGATCGGCTACCTAAGTCCGTTGCTACAGTAACTGCGGAACCGTGCACTCTGTCACTCACTGATGAGCGATCCTCAAAGGGTTCATTCGGCATGCAGAGGATACTCAGGAACGAGAGAACTGAATACTGTCCCAATCACCAAGAACACAACAAAGATTACACAACAACAAACGGAGGTCCTTTGCTTACCAGCGACCTGAACACAGAAATTCCATAGACTCTGCCAGCGTCACGCTGGAGCTGGGTAAGATGCTGTACTTCAAACCGGCGGCCCGGAAACCGGGGCTTGCGTTTGGCAATAGAGGACTGTTAGAA